TCCTCTCCACCTATCTTCTCCTTTATCCATCTTCTATCCGCCTCCCCCTCTCTCCCTATTTATTTCAGAATCCCCTTCCCCTCCCCCATTTCTGAAGAAGGGTCTAGACCAGAAACGTCAGCCTTCCTGCTCCTCTGATTCTGCTTGGCCTGCTGTGTTCATCCAGCTCTCGCCAGCTCTTCAGTCAAATAAGTCCGATTCTTATCCAACTTGTGAAGTCAGCAGTTTTCAGTGAGATTTATCCAACAAAATCAAGGCTAGCACTTCATTTTTAAATTGGAAATTCTGTACAGCACAATCTAATATTTTTGAGCAGCTTTCTCTTTTTTTGTTTGCTATGATTTCTTATGGTAAACAGCATTTTTCTGTTCTTTGGGGTCTGGGTGCCATGGCAGGGCTGGCGTTTGTTGTCCGTCACTAATTTCAATTGAATTGAGTGGTTTGCTCAGCCATTTCAGAGGGCAGCTAAAAGTCAACCACATTGCTGTGGGTCTGGAGTCACAGGCAGGCCAGATCATATAAGGATGTCAGATTTCCTTCCCTAAAACACAAGTGAGCTAGATGGGTTTTTACAACATTCCACAATGGTTTCAAGGTCACCATGTCTGAGACTAGCTTTTAATTCTGACTTATTAAATTCAAATTGCACCCTGCTAGGATTTGACCCTGTTTCCCCAGAGCATTAACTTGGGTCTCTGGATTACTATAACAGTAAAATTACTACTCTGCCACCATACCATTTTAAATTATGGAGAATAAGTAAATATCAGTAAGGAGCTAGGTGTTATTCATACTAATGTTTTTTAAAGTAACAAACCACTTGCTGAGGAAAGGAGGAGGACTTTGCAAGTAGTCTTCTCAATCTACCAATCATTGTGTAGGTTGGACCTCATTTGCAAGTGACTGAAACTTTAGGTTTATGGACGAGTTATTAATGTAACAAAATTCTAAACGTACTTGTTACGTATAAAGAGAAACTGGACTAAACGATGCTAGTGTGTTCAAGTATTCACCTTTGCAAGAGTAGGATGCCCCTATCTGCATGAAGCTCTAATGTCAGTTTCATGAGGCAGTGCTATTGTGCTGTTCTGCTCGAAGCATCAGCTCTTTGCTGTCATGAGGTATATGATAATAAGGTGAATAGTATTCTTCCAATGCATTTTATTGCTTTAGAAATTCTGGATATATTGCATATTACATTGGCTTCATATTGATCTAAACTAGATTTATTTCTAGTTGCATCCTGTTAATCTGCTACAGATTAAGATTTAGGGTGGTGAGGATTAAGGCACAGTCTCTAATTCCTCAGAGTACATATTTTTGGTTATTAACCAGGAGCACAGTGACCAGCATGTGCCAGGGTACCTGCTGTTAGCAATAATGGGATGGTTTGAACTAAAGCTATGGTTTGTTTCTGTGGCCTTTTACTTTCTCCATGTAATACCTCTGACTCTCTTTCCCCTTGTCAAATGAAGTTCTGAAATTTGTAGCTGGAGCCATGTTTGTGTTCTGGTTTGAATGCCAATTTTGCTTGTCTAGAGATTGTAAAACTACCAATGCCTTCTGAACTTGCCAAGCAATGACTCCAAGTCAGAGGCATTTGCATGGAGGAAGTAAAAGGCCACAGAAACAAACTATAGCTTTAGTTCAAACCATCCAATTATTGCTGACAGCAGGTATCCTGGCACACACTGGTTACTGTGCTCCTGGTTAATAAAATCTTGTCAAAAGCAAAATACTGCAGAAGCTGAAAAGCGGTTTGTTTTTTGTTATATAAAGAAAAGTAGCAGGTCTGGAAGTGTCTGTGGAGTGAGAAGCAGAGGTATCATTGAACAATCCAGAAGAAAGGTTATCGACCTGCAGACCAGCAATAAGTGATCTGTGGTAATCATTTTATTTGTACCTAGACTTCAGAAAGGCATTTAACAGTGTTTGCAGTGGTGGGCTATGGCTAACTCAAAACCTAAGGATTGAGGATATATCTTGGAAATTAATTTAATCATTTAAAAAATAATACCTGGGTGGTTATATTTGTGAGTTTTGAGTAGTGTTTCAGATCAACATTAGATCAAACCTTTGGTTTACATTCTTAAATTCCTGAATTGAAGTCAATGTAAACTAGTCAAATAGGAACATGGTATGGCCATTCAGCCCTTAAGCCTGCCTCCACATTCCATATGATCATGGCCCAGGCCTCAATTTCTTTCATGCCAGCTCCTCATAGTCCTCACCACCTTGAGATTTCAAAAAAATCGTCTACCTCCTCTTGAAATACTTTCCGTGATCTAGCTTCCACAACTCTCTGGGATAGTGAATTTCAGACATTCATTACCACCTGGGAGAAGAAATTCTTTTGCATCTCAGTTTTAAATGAGTGACCTCTAACTCTATAGCTATGTTCCCTAGTTCAAGATTCCCTCACTAACAGTAACATCATCTCAGCAGCGTCCCTGTCAAACCTCCTCAGGATTTTGTATGTTTCAATAGGATTCCCTTCACTCTTCTGAACTCTAATGAATAAAAGTACAGCCTTGTTAGCTGTTCTCGATTAGCGAACCTCTTCATCACTAGGCTGATCCCTGGGGATCTCTTTTTGAACTGGTTCCAATGCCAGTATATCCTTTTTAAAACAGAGACCCAAACTGTGCACAGTGTTCCAAATGCAGCCTCACCAACACACAGTTGTAACAAGACTTGTCTATTTTTCAACTCCAAACTCCTAGCTAAAATTCCATTTGCCTCCTTAATTACTTGCTGCAGCTCCATGCTAACTGTGTTTAATGCACAAGAACACCCAGACAACCCTCGGCATTTTTAGTGTCTCTCCATTTATATAATCTATGTTTTGATTCTTCTTACCAAAGTGCATGACCCCTCACTTTCCTAGATTAAACTCCATCTGCCAAATTTTTGCCTGCTCAAAAGACCCATTTATATCCCCTTATACATTCCTTACGTCCTCATCAAAATATGCCTTCCCACCTATTTTTCTATTGTAAGCAAATTTGGAGATATTACACCTCCAAAGTCATTTAACATAGATATATGAGACACTAGGGCTGATCTTTGTGGTACTCCACTAGTTATGTCTTTCTGACCTGAAAATGGCCCACTGATCTTGAGTGTTAACCAGTCCTCAATCCATGATTATGCCCAATATTTTGAGTTCTTGTCTTGTGCAATCCCTGTTACATGGCACCTTATCAAATGCCATCTTAAAATCCAAATACATTACAAGTACTGGTTCCCTTTTTTTGTTAACTTTCCTTGTTATGCATATGAAACAGAATTATTAAAATTTGGAGCAGTAGATCAAAAAATACAAAATGGATGAGCCAAGATATCTGCTTTAGTAGATGAAGGTCGATGCTTGTAAGTATAAAGTGCTATACGTAGGAGGAACAAATGCAGTAAACTCCCTTCAGAACAGCATTCGGGACAATTCTACACCCCAAGGACTACAGTGGTTCAAGAATGTGGCTCACCACCACCACATACCTGAGGGTAGTTAGGGAAGGGCAATAAATACTGGTCTAGCCAGTGGTGCTCGCGTTTCGTTGAATGAAGTTTTTAAAAATGAGTTGCGTGTTAATGATGTTGGAAAAGTGACAATGTCTGTCTGCTTTTCATGATAGAAAACAATTTTATGGGTTTACCTTTCTCCTGTTAAACTAATATACAAAAATGGAGCAAGGATAGATGTTCAATGTAATATTTGGGAGTTTCACATTGATATTTGAAATAATTCATATACACTGTCCAAAAATATGGAGTAGACTAAGTAGCAGAGTTCAAAAAAAATCACTTATTTAAGAAACTTTGTTAGAGGGGGGAAAAGACTTTTTTGGACACTTGACATCATAAATTCAAAAATTCACTCTTTTTTTTTAAATTTTTGTAATGACTGTGTAATTTAAGCCTGCCAGGTGTTTCAAAATTTCAACCAGAGTTGTCATGAAATGTTTTTTTGTCTGTGTTTTGAGAGTGTAGCTCCCTGAGGGTGAGGCAGATAAGATAAATAGAACAAGGAAGACTTATAGAATCTGTGGCAGCTTCAGCATTTTGCACAGTTATTCCTAATTTTCAAGTGAAACTTTGGAACAGTTTGCTCATCTCAGTTTCTTAATTCTTGATGCCCTTCGTAAGATGAAAACCATGCTGTGAATGATTTACTGGTACAACATAAGCCATAATTACTACTTATTCCAGATGCAACTTTCTCACTCCCTCGTATATTTATTTCCTCACTGTAAAGTATCTAGTTCAGCACTTAGGCTGAAAGCTTTTTTGGCATCCGCTATGCTCGTCCTGACCTGTCCAAATGACATTTTCATCTGGTTTTCATCGCTTTAAGACAATGTGTCTCTTGATGAATATTTCAAATCCTACTTTCTTTCCTTTTCAAAAGAACTGAAGTCAAAACTACAACCAATCTGCCTGGAATTTAACAATTCCTTTGCTGTTCCAAACCTAATGCTCAAGCATCTATGCGATGAGACAGAACCACTCCATTTGTGCCTAATGTGTTCAGAGGCTATGCATAACTAATTTATAAATTGTTTTGTTGTAGATTATCGCGCTAAAACGTGTCCATTTTACTTTAACAGTTCAACTATAGCTTAACCTATTATAACGTATCTAGTCAACAATAAATAACAACAGGAATTCTGAAGAAGTCTAATTCTTGCTGGTTCAGAAGTTCATTGGAACTCTGTTTCAGCTACAATTATATATCATCTGTCAAGTTTGCCTCAAAGTCACCACTAGATTTGCTGCCACTTTTGATTTGCTCTGTGATGGCTTTGTTTAATTTTGTCAACTGTGATGGGCCTTTTTCTGCCCTGTGATTTTTGAACTTTGCGGCATTTAATTTCCTCCTGAAGGTGGAGGTTGCCCCTGAGCTTGAGGTGGGTGTGGATTTTTGGTGTGTTTGTAACAAAATCCGAGATTTTGAAATTGCTGTGGTTGATCTGAATTGCCCACATCACTGCTGGATATGGGAGATTTATGGGACGGAGGTAGAGAAACAAAAGCAATTTAGTCAGGAATTTAGGGAAATGTTGGAGATTGATTTATCTCCCAAAGAATTATTTATCCAAATCACACTTTTGATAATTTTTGTGCACATTGTCTTTTCATGGTTCCGGAGCATAAATCTTCATGAAGATGTTGGGGGAGGGGTGGAAGGGTGTGGGAATGTCTGTGCATTTTGTTATTCAAATTGAAATTTGGCCTCTGTTTCTGTTGGCAATGAATAACTATTCTTACTTCTGGAGTGGAATTTTTAGAATATGAAATGCACACAGCTTTGCAGTGTGAAGTAATTCCTAGCTCAGAATATTTGCAAAAGCCTTGAGCTTGCTCCAAGTGGTTAAATGCTGAAGTATCAATTTTTTTTTTGTAGCTTCTCTTCATGCAGATGACTTGGGGTATTAAGTGCATAGAGTAATGAACAAAAGATGGAAATTATTAATGAAATGGAGGGTTAAGATGATTGTAAAGTGAGCAAAGCTTAAGTGGTTTTTTTCTTTGCTTAAGTTAATACTTTTTGAAATGCTTTTGCCCTTATTTATAGTTAATGGTCTTATTATAACTTGGATTTGGATCAAAATTAAGACATGACCTCAGGAACACAAGTGTACAGTGGGTTTCTGCTTTCCTTCTCTTACCACATTGATATTCATGTGGACAATATGTATAAAATTAGATTGGATTTAATGCAATAGAGACTTTAAAATGGTGTAGACACATTGAAGTTCATTTTAAAATGTATATAATTGAAAGGAAAACACTGTCCAATTCTCACGATATGGGCAGTGAATGCAGTGCTTGTTCACATGTATAAATCTTCAGAAGGGTGGTTGGATCCATTTGAGTAATCCCTCCTTGAGTCTTCCTTGATCTAACAGCAATGTCTCCAATTCAGTAAAACACCTTTTTTTTTCTCCTGAATTTTATTGCAGGAGCGGATAAGAACCTACATGAACAAAGTGAAAGAAATAACAGACCATCAGAAGGCGTCAAGACTGGATAAGGGAGTGGCCTCGCGCTTTGTCCGACATGCACTGTGGGAGGCAAAGCCAGAAGGACGGTCAAAAACGCCATCCAAATCCCCCCATCATTGAAAATGCAAGAAAGAAAAATCAGCATTGTCAGAATAAATGAGGAGGAACTTTGGGAACTTTCTCTATCATGCCACTGGGTGTCAGTAATGTTTAACAACATTTAAAGCTGTTTCTTGTTTTTAAAAATCCAAAAAAGAAGCTACATACTAAATCTAAATGGATCAGATTTTTCTTTGAATTGACAAGAAAGCTGGTCACTGCAGGCATGAGCAATATTGTTCTTCAAGTGTGACAATTCACAACTTTTAATTTAAAGAAACTTTAAATTTTTTTAAAGTACCTATGTCCTTTTGTATGGAGTTGATCTCATTACTAAGATTATCATGTTTTACTTTTTTTAATGGAAGATTGTTTCCAATATGATATGAGTACTTCAGTACATTCTGCGATGGTTTGACGGGCAACCTGGGAAATGTACGCTCTCCCTGCTTTAAGTGGTATCACCCTCATCCAACCCCCAACCCTTTTTTGTTGGATAAAGAGCCAAATCATTTCTGATTTTAGTGAATACAAGAAACTCCACAGGTCTGGCAGAATCTGTGGAGAGAGAGAGAAAAAGAATTAATGTTTTGAGAGCTGAGGTTCTGACCACGTGTCATGTCGCACTCAACGTTGATTCTATTCCTCTCCGTAGCTGGAGCCAAACCTCCTGAGTTTCTCCAGCATTTTGTTTTTCTCACTTCTCCCAAATCCCTTGCTTTTATTTAAAATAAACTTTAGCAATTCATATGTGACACATATTTGAACAGTCATCTCCCTCTAGAGCTTGTGGTCTGAAAACCTCTTTATTTAATTACCAACTCGATCGTGTTTTAATGTATATGTCATATGTCCCTTTTAGGCTGAGACCTGGATTCAAGTCCCAACATCTCATGAGCAGGTTGGTTAGAAACATCAAGGCATCTGATATTTTCCTGATGACGGAAATGGCATAGACAGTCCTGAATGTGGCCATTTGGTGTTCTGATTTGTATCAGACCTCTGGGGTGTTTACATTTGTTTATTTGAGAAACAACAGGTTCCATTTATAATAGTGGTACTGCAGAAGTGGGTTAATGGAAGTGACTTGGATTTGCTTGGTGTGTGCTAGAATGGGCTTGATCATCACCCAATTGACTGCCTTAAAATCTGCTTTTGTGTCCTTCTTGCTACAAGTGGCCAGCAGCTTGATTGACGCCTTCAAAAATGAAGTTCTTTACATCCAAACAGGAAGAGGCCATTCAGTCCCTCAAGTCTGTTCCTGGCATCCAACAAGATTATGGTTATGTATTATCCTTAGCTAGTATAAAGATTAGTCATGTCAGGTTCAAGGATGATTGAGTGAGCAAGCATACTTTTTTTGTGGGAGAGATTTCTTCACTTTTGAGCAAATATGTGATTTCCAACTTTTCTCTCTTGAATGGCCTGGAAAAAAATCTCTACCCTATCATTCCCTTTATTCTAATAAACCTGAAATCAATCACTGCTTAGCCTTCTCTTTACAGTGACCACACCCTTATTTGTGTAATGTCTCCATGATCCAAGTCTCGAAATGCTGGTAACATTTCAGTGAGTTTGCACTCTTTGCAAAATCACTTTTTCATTTCAAATGTGCAGTGTCCAGAACTATATTCAGAACTCCAGATAGAATCTAACCAAAGCTTTTTATATTTGAAGACAAACTTGCTCCCCTTTATACTGTAGCCCTATGGGTATTGAAGTGAATATTCCTTTAATTTTTTTGATTATTTATACTTGACTATAATTTTAATGATTTGAGGGCACTGACTCGAATCTTTTCGAACCTCTTTTTTTTTCAAATTTCGGCACACTTGGTTTATCTCATTACCAAGAGTTCCATCCCTTTCTGTAACTTACTTCTGAGAGTTGTACTGTGAAATTTCTGCATTTAAATGTTAAAGACCCTGACAGGGTAGATGCTATGATGCTGTTTCCTGTGTTGGAGAGTGTGGAACTAGAGGCCACTGTCTTAGCTGAAGGGCTCAGCTATTTAGGAATAACACTGAGAAATTTCTTCATTTAGACATTGCAGATCTTTGAAATTCTCCACCTTGCAGAGCCATGGATGTTCAGTCATTGAGTGCAGTGAAAATGGAGATAGTGCACAGGAATGAAGGGATAATATAAGAAAGCGAAATCCATGTAGAAGATTAACTATGTTTATATTGAATGGAGGGGCTCACTGACCAACTCCAGCTACCACTTGTTTATGTTCCTATGTAATAGTGTAGCATTTTTTAAATAATATCCTTAAGTATTTCAAAGCTACATCGTTTTTAGGAAGTTATTCCGTCAGCACTGTGAGCAATCCAAACTGATAGCACAGCACTGAACTGAAATTGCATCCTGTACATGATGTTATGGGGGTACAGCTATTCGTGATTTTGCATCACCCTTGAGAGTAGTTTCATTATAGGTAGAAAAATTACTACCCATTTATTTGTTTTCAGCACTAACTACCTTGTTATATAAAGTATTTTGGGAACCAGGTGCAAACATTCATTTGTAGCTGCCTGCATAGTTACTGGTGAATCAATGAAAGGACCCTCCAAAACATGAAGAGGCAGAGCCCTGTGACTAAAACAGTACCTGTCTCCTGCAGGGTGGTCACTTTCCCAGCTGGAAGAATGGAGCCAACACTGAGGAGCTGCTCAGGAGCTGAGCATCTGCCACCATGAGCAAATCAAGTACAGGCGACCTCCAACCATTTTAAAAAATGTGACAGATTAATGTCACTGAATACTGGAGAGTTCATCTTCCAAAAATGTGCTGACTGTAACTTGGGGATTGAATTTGTAGCGTTGTTATTCAGGAAAGCGCAAAAGGAGACTGTTTGGCCCATCGTGTCACTATCGTCTCTCCAAGTGAGCAATTTACTTAAAACTACTCTCCTGCCACCACTTCATAACCCAGCCCATCTGTTCTTTTACAAAAAAGTTTCAAGTTTAATTCCCTTTTGAATGGATTGATTGAATTTGCCTCAACCACACTCTAGGGCAGTGCTTCCTAGACCCTAACTACTGCCAGGACAGTAAAATTTGCCATCCTTGTATGATCCAGTCTACTCATAAGAACTAGGAGCAGGAGTAGGCCATCTGGCCCCTCGAGCCTGCCCCGCCATTTAATAAGATCATGGCTGATCTTTGAGACGCAGCTCCACTTACCTGCCCGCTCACCATAACCCTTAATTCCTTTACTGTTCAAAAATTTATCTAGCCTTGCCATAAACACATTCAGCGAGGTAGCTTCAACCGCTTCACTGGGCAGGGAATTCCACAGATTCACAACCCTTTGGGTGAACAAGTTTCTCCTGACCTCAGTCCGACATCTGCTTCCCTTTATTTTGAGGCGACGCCCTCTAGTCCTAGTTTCACCTGCTAGTGGAAACAACCTCCCTGCCTCCACGTTATCTATTCCCTTCATAATCTTATGTTTCTGTAAGATCTCCCCTCATCTTCTGAATTCCAATGAGTATAAGCCCAGTCTACTCAGTCTCCCCTCATAATCCAACCCTCAACTCTGGAATCAACCGAGTGAATCTCCTCTGCACCCCCTCCAGTGCTAGTATATCCCTTCTCAAGTAAGGAGACCAAAACTGCACACAGTACTCCAGGTGTGGCCTCACCAGGACCCTATACAGCTGCAGCATAGCCTCCCTGTTTTTAAACTCCATCCCTTAAGCAATGGCAGACAAAATTCCATTTGCCTTTTTAATCACGTGCTGCACCTGCAATCCCACCTTCCGTGATTCATACTTGAGTGACTCTGCCATTCAACTAGATTACAGCTGATCTATCCACACACCCCTTTTATCTTAAAAATCAACAAATCTATTGATCAGGCTATAGACTGGAATGGAATGTCTTTGGCAAATATTCTAATTTGTTTGCAGGTCTGGCAGCATCTGAAGAAAAAATTGAGTTAACGTTTTGGGTCCGGTGACCCTTCTTCAGAATTTTTGTTCCTGATTTACAGCATCTACACTTCTTTTCAGTTTCTAATTTGTTTGCAGTTGCATTTCACTATATACAAGTAAATTTTTATTTTAAATCAGTACTTGTCCTTAAAACATTTGTAATAATCAGTGCTATGGTTTTGGAAGTTTGCTTTATTTTTTATTTTCATGTTGCACTTAATGCTTATGTTGCCATCCTACTAACACTCTACTTTATGGAGTTGATCTGTTCTTTCCCAAAGAGGACGAAAATTTAAGGTTTGCAAATGTTGCAAAGTAATAAGGAGCAAACCAGTAAGTGTCTACATGAATTTATCACTACAAAAACGCTCCCCAGAATGTGACACTAGGAAAAGTGTAAGTAAATATAAATTTGGCTTGGTGGGCTTACATTTTTCCAAAGTTTTCAGGATCATTTTGAATTTAGGTGCCCATGTTGTCTTGCAAGCTCCTCTGTGCAGCCACTTAGCAGGAGAATCTAAATAAAACTACTGTGCATGTTTAGAATCTGAAATAAAAAGAAGAAATGCCAGAAATTCGGCAGCATTTGTGGGAAGAGAAACAGTTAAATGTTTTGATCCCAAAGCTGACTTCATAAACATTCCTGTACCTGTGCAGCTTGGAGCATGTTGCTCTAACCTTAGCATGTACGGTGTAACAATAAACTGTTTAATAGTAGCCTAAGTCGTCTGAGCTTGTCTCAAAACCTGGTGATCATAAAATATAGGAACAGAATTAAGCAATTGATATGTTTCTCAACCCCATTCTCCTGTCTTCTCCCCATAACCCTTGATCTTACTAATCAGTAAGGCAGAACCTACGTTAAGATTTGATCCAACACTAATGTTGATTATTGGCTGTGATAACTGACTTACAACAAACACTCATCCACCTGCTGCTTACTGTGGAATTTCTGGGTTGTAGCCATGTGCCTCGGCTCTTTCAGACGTTGTTGAGGTGATGCAGTTCTCAATATTTTTGTTGACACACACCCTGCCTTGCTTGGGAGTATTCACTATTGTACATAATGTTCTATCAGTGCATGTAACGCAGAGAAGTTCTTTTATAAGCCTCTGCTGGATATCACCCTCCTGTGTGTGAAACAGAGCGAAGTCCTCAGCATTTCTTAATTCATTCTTGCTGCTTCCACCCAACAATGGCTGGTAGACAATTAAATACTTGAATAGAAACTGCTGTCTTTTACACACCCTTCTGTTTACTTCTTATCTAAATGGGCTGTTTTCACCAATGCACGCAGATTAACCACTGTGATACTTAGAGTTCGTAGAGTGGGAGCAGGCCATTCAGCCCATCAAGTCCACACTGCTTCTCCCTCCATCCCCCTACCCTGTCATTCCCATGGCTGATCCACCTAGCCTGCACATCCTTGGACACTTTTATGGGCAAGTCTACCTAACCTGTACATCTTTGTGTGAGGAAACCCGCACAGACACAGGGAGAATGTGCAAACTTCACGTAGGCTGTCACCTGAGGATGGAATTGAACCCAGGTCCCTGGCACTGTGAGGGCAACTGTACTAATCACTGTGCCACCATGCCACCATTTTCAGTTGTGAGAATTTCAGGTTTTTACAGATGAAATGTGAGAAGTCCGCTGACTGTTCATTCTTTCACAAGGAATGTTGTAGGGTTTGCAGAAAATGTTTCCCTCAAATATGAAATTTGCACAATCTGCAGGGCTGGGCAAAGAAAGGGGAAGGACAGCCGGAGAGAATCTCCACATAAATCAGTGAGTGTGTTTGCTGGGAGCATTAATGCTAGCTCGTCATACACCATTTCCTTTCAGCAGTGAATGCTCATGACAATCGGTGATCCTTTCAAAGCCTGCCTATGATCAATAGGGGCATATTCAATGGCAGTGATGCAAATAGTCTGTCAGCTGAGGTAAACAGTGCATGCACCATAAGAATGTTTTAAAATTGTGGTAATGAAATACCAATTTTTCAAGAGGGCAAGTCCTTCAGCCCACCTGCCTTTCCCCTCCCCCAACACCACTCAAATCCCCTGATATAGCCCTTTCATTCAGAAAAGAAACCTGTGGAGTTTTCTTGTTACCACTGGATTTGTTAAAGAAGAGTTTTAGAATCTTTTAGTTTTTGTAAAAGCACATAAGTGGTGGTGTTAATGGGCAGCTGTATACTGATTGGCAGAATCGCTTCCTCAAGAGAGATTAGTGAACCAGATGGGTTTTTAAACAAAGGAAAGCAGCCAAGATTTCCAGTTAACATACCATCTGAAATATGGCACCACTGACAGTGCTAGACTTCTTCAATATTGCACTACAGTGCCATAATAGATTTTTGTGCTCAAGTCATAGGTTAACTACAACTATGGCTGACACCTACATCTTGATAAGTAATAACCAGTGGAGAATACAAAAACGGAGCTCGATCAGTGATCAATTCTATTAACTTTGTAAATTTGAACAAAAATCTACTTGTAAAGTCACTGATGTCTGATTAGATATTAATTTCACTGACGTGC